CACTTTCCTTTTGTGATCACTAACTGCTTTCGTGGGTCAGCGTTGTCTAACATAGTCAGAGAAATTTAACCTCTATTGAAAGTGAGATGTTAAGATTTTTTTTGTTGTTGTGTTATTAACTTTTAATTCACAGTGGGAATAGCAGAATGTCTTAAGAATTATTTAAATTCTACATGTTTTTACTTTTTCTTCTCCCTCTGTCTCTTAATGCATAACATGATGAAGCAGTCCACACCAGGTAAGCAACACTACATTATTTGGGTCTTGTATATTAGCACTTATATCTCTCTGCTAATTAATTTTCTCATTTAGCATTTAAAAAAGATAGGCAGGGCCCTCCCTGGTGGGGCAACAAGTTAAAATGGAGCACTATGAGGCTGTCAGAATGACAATTTGATCCGGGCCAGGGAGCTGACCCACATGGCACAGCAGATCTCTCCTGGCCCACCCACTGTTCCCCTTAGCAGTGTATTTTGGTCGGTCTGCCTGTTCTGCTCCCCACTCTGTCTCTGGTGAGTCCTCTCACCCCCCACGTCCCTAGTCTGTACCCCCAGTTCTTGTTTGCATAAATAAATAAATCTTTAAAAAAAAAAAAAGATTAAAAAGGGCCCTCCCTGGTGGCGCAGCGGGTTAAAGCACTGCACTGAGAAGCTAAAGCCACTTCCGCATGAGTTCGATTCCCGCCTGCCCCGGAGGTGACCACATGGTGTGGCAGACCTCTCCTGACCCGCCCGCTGCTCCCCTCAGCAGTGTACTTCGTCGATCTGCCTGTTCTGCTCCCCACTCTGTCTCTGGTGAAGCCTCTCACCCTCCGCATCTCTGGCCTGTACCCCAGTACTGTATGAATAAAAATAAAATAAATCTTAAAAAAAAAAGACAGGCAGAAGACTTTCTCAAGAATCCTGCCATCTTTCCAGTTTGGACCCCACTGACAAAAAAGTGAACTACTCTTAGGCATGCCCACGTGGATGAATCCCACAGGCATAATGTTGAGTGAGAGTTGTCAGAAACAGAGAAGCACATGGTTGAGCTACGTTAAGTCCAACAGGTAATAACAATCCATGGAGATAGAGGCAGAGTGGGGGCTACCTCCGGAGGAACCGTGATGTATTGCTGGGAGAGGAGAGGACACAGGAAACCTCTGAAACCTCTGGGATAGGGAAACATTCTTCTTATGGGTCTGCATGATAGGTACATGGGTGTATACATGTGTAATATTTTATCAGTGTATGCACTTCAAATCGGTGTGCTTTTCAGTGCTTTGTGTTTTGTTTAAGATTTATTTATTGAGCCCTCCTGGTGGCACCAAGGGGTTAAAGCGTAGCACAATGAAGCTATTGGCAGCCACAGCAGACCTCTCTTTCCGCAAGCACCCTCTGCTTCCCCTCAGCAGTGTATTTCAGTAGATCTGCCTGTTCTGATCCCCACTCTGTCCCTGGTCAGTCCCCTCACCCCCTACACCTCTGACCAGTTCTTGTATGCATAAATAAATAAATGAATGAATGAGTGAATGAATAAATAAAATAGATCTTTTTTAAAAGATTTAATTCAAATACAAGAACTGGGGTATAGGCCAGGGGTGCAGGGATGAGAGGACTGACCAGAGACAGAGTGGGGATCAGAACAGGCAGGTCTACTGAAATACACTGACGAGGTGTGGAAGGAAAGGTTTTCTGCTCCTTGTGGGTCAGCTCCCTGACAGGAATCGGAACCTGCAGCAGTGGCTGGAGATAGCTTGATAGTGCTGTCTTTAACCCCTGATCCACCAGGGAGACTCTGTCTTACTTTTTAAAAAACATGAGGCTAAATATTGCCTAGAAACAGGCATTCTCTCAAATATTTCTTATGCAGTTTTGACATTATAACATTGTGGCCATAGAGGGATATCATAGAAAGCTAACCTTTATTAACACATACTTTATTTTGACCAACAGTGTTAGTTTTACAAGAAAACTGATTATATAGCGCAGAGTTCCCATACAGTCCCCTTCACACCTTCCTCCAGTTTTCCTTTATTAACATCTTTTGTGAGTGTTATGCTTAAGTTACAACTGATAAGCCAATATTGACACATTGTTAACTGAAGTCTATGTTTACAGTAGGGCGCATTCCTTGTGTTGTCTACTCTGCAAATTTTTATAAATGTATAATGACATGTTACATTATCATACAGAATAGTTGCACTGTTCAGTAATCCCATATGTATTATCTTCTGATTCATATCTTCTTTCCCTATTTTGAATGTCTGGAAACTACTGGTCTCTTTACTATAATTCTGCCTTTTACAAAATATCACAAAGTTGAAGTCTTTCTGCTTGACTTCTTTGGCTTAGCAATATGCATTTAAAGTTCTTTCATGTCTCTGTCTCTAACCCCGGCACACTCCAGAAGCCTAATATTAAACTTAATATGAAACATCACACCTCCCATGTTCTCTCTTGCCTTTATACTTGGGACACATAGCTCTTCCAGTGGAACTTTTCAGATGTATGACAATCATTAAGAGAGAAACCAAGGAGATATGCAGAGAGAGAGCTACAACTCCTGAACTTCCCTAGAGCTAGTCTTCAAGACCTGTCAAAGTTATAGTAGAACTTTTCTACTGACTGTTAGAGTTCCAGCATCTGTATGGACTAATCATAGGGAATGTTTTTTATTTTATTGATGTATAATTATACATAATGTTATAGTTTCAAGTGTACAACATAATGTCTTGATATTTATTAATATTGTGAAGTGATAACCACAAAAATCTAGTTAACATCTGTCCTCATATATCGTTACAAAGCAATTTTTTTATTATGAGAGCTTTTAAGATCTTCTCTCTTAGGAACTTTCAGATTTGTGATGTAGCATTATTTACTGTAGTTACATTGCTATATATTACATCCCCATGACTATTTTATAACTGGAAATTTATATTTTTTGATTCGGATCCCTAACACATTTCAACCAATCTTTACCGCCTGCCTCTGGAAACCAGCAATCTATTTTCTGTATTTCTGAGCTTGTGGATTTTGTTTCTTTATTTTGGTTGGTTTTTTTTTTTTTTTTTAGCTTCTATGTATAAATGGGATCATAAAGTATTTATCTTTCTGTGTTAGACTTATTAACTTAGAGTAATGCCCTCAAGGTCTATCCATGTTGTCACAAATATCATAATTTCATTCATTTTCTTCAAAACTTAAAAAAATCTTTTAATTGGGGGGACATAGTATACAGTATTGCATGTGATTCATGGGTGTAGGATCACATCCTTCAGGTCTGCACTCCACCCACCACCAGGGCACCCACATTCCTCCACCACAGTCCATTGTGCCTCCTCCACATTCAGTTCTCCCGTTCTCCCTCTGGTGCCCTCAATTCCACAGATTTCTGGGGTTGATTATAGGTTTTATCTGATGCTGTTTTGTCTCTCTAGATTCCATATGTAAGTGACACCAGTCAGTATTTGTCTTTCCCCTTCTGACTTAATTCATTTAGCATAACCATGTGCCACCCCATCCATGTTGTTGCAGATGTCAAGAATTTATCTTTTCTATAATGAGCATTATTTTTATGGCTGACTGCTAGGCCAGGCATGCACTGGCATGCACACACGTACATACTACAACTTCTTTATCCCTCCATCTGTCTGTCGATGCTTAGGTTGTTTCCATATCTTGACTATTATAAATAATGCTGCAATGAACATGGAGATACAAATATCTTTTCAAATAACTGTTGTTTTTTTTTTTCACTTTCTTCCAATAAATACTTGTGATATTGCTGGATCACATAGTAAGTCTATTTTAATTTTTTGAAGAAATTTCTTACTGTTTTCCATATGACTGTACCAATTTATATCCCCAACAATGTACAAGGGTTCCTGTTTTCTACATCCTCACCAACGATGTGTTATTTCTTGTCATTGGCAATAGTCATTCCAGCAGGTGTAAGGTGATATCTCATGGTTTTGACTTGCACTTCAGTAATTAGCAATGCCAAGCATCTTTTCATGTGCACATCGGTCATCTGTGTGTCTTCTTTGGAAATGTCTGTTCAGATCCTCTGCCCATTTTTCGATTGGATTATTTGGTTTTTTGCTATTGAGCTATATTAGTTCTTTCTATATTTTGGATGTTAACCTGTATCACATATGATTTGCAAATATGTTCTCCCATCCACTCAGTTGCTTTTGTCATTTTGTTAGTAGTTTTGTTGACTGTGCACAGACTTTTTAATTTGTTGTAGTCCAGCTTGTTTATTTTTGTTTTATTGCCTTTACTTTCAGTGTCACCTACCCAAAATGATTGGTCTAGGATTGAACTTGTGCTACAGTGGCTGCAGGTAGCTTCATACTTCTCGCTTTGAGCCACCAGGGAGGCCCTGTTCAACTAAGTTTGATGCTGATAATGTTCATAAAGATTTTTATGGGATGGTTGGTTGAAAAGGTTTATTGTGTGTTTTTTGTTGTTACTTAAGCATAATTACTAGTTCCCAAAAGCCTGGTAATGAGGATGAGCAGTACTGCTCTTAGATCCAGGCAACCAGGACTTCAGTTTGCAGCACCCAGCTCTGGTCTTATACTAACCAAACCTCTCCACAGGATGAAGAGCCCCAAAGGACATCTCTACCTGAAATCCAGGGCCCCCCCCCCTCAACCCCCCACCGCTCAGACTACCTGAGTACCCGGTGCCTTAATTCCTTGCTGCACCATTACCTGATATCAGTACCTACATACACCTCTCCCCTCTCAGAACATTTTGCACACTCCTAGATCCAAAGAATAACAAGGGAGTAGCTTCAGTTTTAGCAGCAAGCTTCTTATCTTCTTCATTCCTTCTCATGTATGCCTTTGCTATTCTCTATTGGTAGTTCTCAAATAAAGAAGCATTAATTGCATCTCCTGTGACATAGAGAATTGACCTTTACCTGCCCACAATCTATAGTAGTTTATATGTTTGAGGTCACTTACTGCATCTTGTATGAGGCTGTCGTGTTGGAATTGCAATTAAGGTTGTTCAGAGCAAAGGAAAGCCACAACTTTCCAAACAATTGGTGAGGTTGTCGTTCCTCTTCCCTGCTCCTCTGTAACAGCCAGTAAGAAGGAAGGCACATGTCTTTATTATTTCTTCCAAAAGATCTGGGGGGGAGAAGGGAAAGAAAGGAAAAGGTTAACTGACTTAATTTAACACTTGATGTTATAAATCATGTGTTGCAATGTGGTGATAGGATGTTGCATCAGAACATGGCCGTTGTAGGGATGCGGGGTTATCACAACTTTGATGGTAGGTGCTCTGCGCTCTTTACCTGAAAATTTGACCCCCTTCTGCTCTGCCAAGGAGGAAGGTGTTAATTTAAATTGCATTGTCCTATGTTACACATTTCATTCTCTTGCTCCTTGGTACAGAAATTTCTTTATGAGCGAAGATTTGCCAGGCAGACATTGTTCTGAGTCTCAGCATCCCTCTCCCCAAGTAGGGAAGTGCTGAGGTTTCTTCACTCCTTTCTGGAAGTCTGCTGGGAAAGCTGAGAGGTGTTATGGGCAGGGCTGTAATGTCATTACTCTGAGTACCGTTAATTTTGAAAGTGCTTGTAATATTTCCTGAACATTTCATATTGCCTGTATCTCAAGATTTAAAAGAGTAAGTTATCGAGAATTTGTCCGTAAGAAAGAAAATAGAAGGTTCATGATCATGATAAGGGTAGGAAACATGGAATATATTTCAGCAGAATTCTTGATCGTCAAGTGGATTTGGGTAGTTGTTTTTATTGTTTGAAGTGTGTTGTTTCTTTTTTTCTTTTTTTAACTTCTGCTTTGTTGTGGAGGGGGGAGATGTCATAGCTTATAGGAGAAATTAAGCAAGTGACAATATCAGAATTAAATGTTATATTTAAAACATGAATTCTTGACTCTGTTGTCTCAAGTTTATTGTGGTGGCAGTGGCATTATATCCACCATGGGGGATTTGGAGACTGGCAAGAATGCAAGCAAAAAAATAAAGTGCCGTGATGAAAAGAATTCCCCTTCAACTCTAATAAACTAGTTTTGCATATTGTGGTTTAGAAGTGGGAAAACAGTGGATTTTTCAGCACTGAACGCTAGGGTTAATCAGACTGGCCTATCCAGTGGTAGATAACATTAGCTCTTTACTGCCATACTACATAGAGGCTGGCCTTGTATAATACCAGGCTCAGAGAAACAGAGCTTGGTAGCCAAAGATGTAGAGATCTGATCTGTACACGCTCTTCCTCTTCCCTTCTTGGTGAGAGAAATCACTCTTTCACCCTGGGGAAGAAATGAGGAGATGGGAACAATTTATACACTGCTGACAACCCACAATGGAAATACCAGTAGTGGGAGAAAGCATTCCTGCTGTCACGGCTGTACTATAGCAGGTCGGACACTCATAGAAAGTCTTTATGGTTTATAATCACTCTCAGAATTACAGAGATGTGCTCTCAAAAGTGTGTATAATAGTTCACAGTATTGTCTTAAAATCCATGTCTTTTACAGGTGAGCTGACACAAATGCCTAGTATTTACCTCAGAAGAATCCAGGCACAGGAGAGGTTTAATGTAACAGGATCATCTATGATGTGTTGTTGAAATTAGATGATGAGTGCATTCATTATGTTATCTCCAGGAGAGCAAAGGTTCAGTTTGAATCTCAACTTTGCCATTAGCTGTGTCCTCAGCAAGTTATTTTACATAAGTCTCCACTTCCTAATCTGTAAAATGAGGCTAATAAAGTATACCACATTGTAGGAAGGACTACTGTGATGACTCAAATAAAATAACAAGGTATATGTCCACTGCCAAGGAGCACTCAGTCGTAGTCACTCCTATGTCTATAAATGGGAAAAGATCACAGTATCTCTTCCTTAAATATGAAATGTGTGCTTGCTTAGTGTATTTCCCCAGTTGAATATATTAACTTGGATTTTGTTTTGACAGCTCAGGTGCCTAAAAGGCCAGAGGAGCTTCTCAGGCCAACCCCCGTTTGATGGAATCCACATTGTCAACCATTTAATAGGAGATGATGAATCATTGCATTCCTCCGATGAAGATTTTATAGATCATTCCGTACAGGAAAGTAGCGTTGGCTTTCCTTTGCACAGAAAACCTGGCCCAGTGACCTTGGACCCCACTGTGGCAGATGGCAGTGAGAGCGATACAGAAGACAGTGTGCCGCAGACCAGAGAGAGTGAGCGCGGGGCGCAGCAGGAGCGGCACCCAAGAAGAGAGTCTTATTCAACCACTGTCTGACCACCACTGTGACCTGGACTGTGGACTTTTTTAAGGGATCAGTTATATGACTAAGGGTTTTGAACATTATCTGTTTCATATGTAAATATATAGATATATAGAGATAGATATATTTTACAATCTTACCTGCCTTTTTATCTTTGCCAAATCTTCACCACTGACTTGCCATTGCCATACAGTAGACTGGTAATATGGTTAATGGGAAAAATAAGAATCTAACAGTATTACTGAATATTAATGTTTCTTGTTTATAAACTGCTATTATATCTATATGTGGGAATCATTTTGAAGTGCAGAACTATGGAAAAATTGGAATTTTTTTTTTTTTCAGACAAAACTGTTCTTGTGCAATATTTTCTGCTCAGTGAACAAATTGTGTATGTATTTATCAATTTGTTTTCTGGGCAGCTGTCTACAAACATGACCAAGAGATAGATCTAACTTTATCTTGTTTTTGTTTATGGTCTTTTTTTTTTTTTTTCAATTAAAATTATTGTCTTATTTGTAGGCCACTGAAAGTTCCCAAAATAAAAGTATTTCCTTATAATTTTGTAAATGTAAATGAATAGTTACCTGTCTTGAGACTTTTAAGTTTTGTTTTAATGTCTAACTTTATGTGCATATGATGCTTCTATGTGTTGCCTGCCTACAGAGTAGTAGGTTAACTACATATATGTAGTTTTTATGTACATTTTTATAAAGCTGCATCATACATCTTTAAACATCATTTTATATGGAGAAAAGTTATTGCAAATTGACTGCCTTCAGCATTCTAACAGGACTTCTGTAAATAATAGGCTAAAAGAAAATTGAAAATAAAAACAAACACTAATATTTTAATAGCTCTAGTATTTTGCTTAGTTTCAACACTAGCTGATTCATAGTTTAATTAATGCTTGTTCAAAAACACTACTGGTGAAATATTTTTCTTCATGTGATATAGCTAAGAAATTTTTAATAATTAAAGAGGTTATGTTAAAGCACATGTTACTTAGTGCTAATATACTACTTAAGATAATTTAGGCAGGCGATTGAAGTCCAAGATACACAGTTATATCTATAAGTAATCTGTGAACATTATCTTCAGATTCTCTAGCTACTAATATATACATAAAGCCATATGAATTCTTACCTATCAATTCTTTCTTTTTTATCAAATCTAGATTTTCTTAGAAAACTGAATGCTTGTGGAGGAAACACCCAAATCACGCTTACACTTTGGAACGACAAGAATGTGGTAACTGGATGCTTTTACTCTCATTTTCACCAGAGGATAATATGAAGGTGAAATTGCGTTTATAGAGAGGCACAGTTTTGCACAATATGTAGCACGCAGGAAAAAAAAAATCTGTGTAATGGAAATGAGTAGAAGAGACAAAAACAGTTTTGTCTAAAACCAGGAGTCTAGCCTATGGTACACATGGATGAGGCTTTTCCAAGAAGCTCTTCATAGCTATTTGCTTGACAAACAAGAATGAAAACATGCATGCAACACGTTAACTTATTTACCTGTGGTCACAGGCTATCAGAACCAAGATTTTAATCTCAATCTCTCTAACACCAAAATATTTGAAAAGGTTCAGCTAACAAATTTCTCAATTTCATGCACTTCTGATAATTGATATGATTTAAATAAATTTTATTCAAATGTGCTTCCTGAATGTATTTGTAGGTATGTATCTGTTTAAATTAATATTCAAAAGCTCTACATAGCTTATGAGTATATATACTACTCCTAAAATTTTTTGACTAGTACTTTGGAGGTTCTTGTTTCAGTTCATTACTGTCGGCCCTGAGGTGGTTGGTGCCCATATGAAGTCTGGTGATTCGTGGCCACATAATAATTCTGACTCCCCACATCAGATAACTGATTGATTCAGAGGTCAGCAATGACAGCCTTTGAGCCAATTCCAGACAACTACCTGTTTTCACGTGGTCCACGATTTAAGCAGGGTGGTTACATTTTTTGGCATTTGGGGGAAAGTATCAAAAGAATCATCTTTAGTGTCACCTGAAATGCTTATGAAATTCAAATTTCAGTGTCAGTAAAGCTTTCATGGCGTACACCCATGCTTATCCATTTACATATTATATGTGGTTGCTTTTGTACTACAATGGCAGGGTTGAGTAGTTGGCACAGGAGTAGACAGTTCTCATAGCCTAGAATATCTCCTGTCTAGCATTTTTGCGAAAAAATTTGCTGACCTTTGATTTCAGTGCAGAAAATGCAAGCTTGCTTAGTTTCTCTTAGTAGAAAATCAAGCTATTTAGTTTTGCAGTTAAGCTACAGTGGTTTGGAAACCTAAAATTTCCTGGTGGATCTTAGAACTATACCAAATGGAAAGTATGCCAACTATTTTATATCATAAAGTCTTTGACACTGTATACAAGTTCAGAAGGAAAATGTACCTTTGGAAATGGGAAATTCCAGAATCCCAGCTCTGTTCTTTAAAGCATGCATTATTGACTTTTGTGGTGTCTTTATTGAGTCATTGTTTTAATTTGACTTTAAAATAAGAACATCTTTCTAGAGAATTTCCCAATGACTCTCTCTAGCTAGGAATTAGATATTAAAACAAATTTGGTAAATAACCCTTACTCTTTTGATACTCTTGTAATTTGAACAGTGAAAAAACTACAAACAACAATCTTCACATTTAAGAACTTTGATTCAAATACTCTTTAGAAATCTTCCTGGGAAAAAAAGTTAAAATGTAATTTTACACAATTTATACCAATTTTATTGATATTAAACACTCAGTGTTTAATGATACAGTGAGAAATAAGTCCCAACTAACTGCCCAATTATTTTGAAAGAAACAACTTTTTCTTAGTGTTGAACATGATGCAGCTGTAACTCTCCAGATAGTGCCTTTGATTGAAACAAGGTTAGGTCTTTGTAATTATTTTGTTTTTGACATCAGAAGAAATGACTTGACTCCTCATCCCCCTTTATATTCTGAATAGTACACTACACTTTTCAGATTTAAAGTAAATCTGAAAGGTAAGGCCTTTCACAGCTTGATTATTGTGTAGTGCCAGGTATCGACAGCTAACATTCATGAGGTCACTGATTTACTTTATTAAAATGATGAGCTTGAGCCTGAAAGTTATTGCTGCTCTCTCATTAAAGTAATACTTTTTAAATTTTAATTTAATTCCTTCTACTGAAATTAAATTTTCTGATCAACAGTGGACTGAATGCTATTTGTAACTCAAGTTTTCACACACATCCATTGATCTACCTATCCCTTCTTTTCACTCCAAAGAAGAGATGATAAAATAATACATTAAATATACTATAGATATGCAAAATTATAATGTATTTTCATTTTATTGTTGGAATTTCTTATTGTAACATTGTATGATAACCTGAAATGTTTACTTGTGCCTTTGCTTTGAACAATTAAAGTTTTCCATTTTATAAGATTTCTGTTTTCTTAAACTATTCAACTGAAAAAGGGAGAGACATCAAAATACTATTTAAAAGTGCTTGACCTGACATCAGATAGATATTCATCAGTGAGATTTGTGGTCCATGGATACAAAGGTCAAATCTATCTGTATTTGTGCCTGTAAATCAATACAACGGACAGCCTGGCCCATGGTATTTTTCACATAAAACCAGATACCTACATTTGTTACTTCTTTATTTTTGAAAATATTAATTACAGCATTTTAATCTCACATTCTATTATAGATAATTAAATTAGCCTCAGTTTGATAAATGTATTCAAGTATATCATTTGAATATGCAGATGGATGTTATTGTGAAAAAGAAAAATTTTGTCTTCTACATCTTTATTACAATGTACTACATAATTTCTTTTGGGGGAAAAAACTTTTTCTTAGTGTGAAACATGATGCAGTTGTGACTCTCCAGATGGTGTCTTTGATTGAAAGCAAAGGTATACCTTTGTAATTATTTTATTTTTGAATCAGAAGAAATGTCTTGATTCCTCTTGCTCCTTTGTCTTTTCTACAATGCTATATATCTTCTATTGATCTTCTATACAGTGCTATATAGTAACTATTACAGTGTTATGATTTCAGAAGCAATAGTTCATATACTCTGCTTTATATCCAGAAGGATATAAAGCGCATTATAAAGGTACATGAAATGTGAAAGGTAGTTATAAATCCAGAGTTTCTCCACCTTGGCACTCTGGACATTTGGGACCTCGCTGTTTCAGGGGGCTGTCCTTCACACTGTAAAGATATTAGTAGCGTCACTGTCCTCTACCCACTAGATGCCAGTAGCACACCTCCCCCCTTCATTGTAACAAAGCAAAACGTCTCCAGCTGTCACCAAGTAGCAAGGTCTGAGAATGACAATTACCCTTGGTTGAGTATCTCTGTTACAAATTTAGAAATGGATCAAAAAACAAAGAGGCATGAGAACCAAAACTAAAAATATATACACCCATTGAAACTGGATCACAACTTTGATTCTTTCTAGTGGTCAGTGAAAACAGTAAAAATCTGTACCAGAGGGAGGTACCACTTCACATGAGGATGGCTGTTGTTTGAAATAAACAACAGAAAATAATCTGTTGGCAAGACACGGAAAAAATGTGCATTGCTACTGGGAATGTAAAAGATACAGCCATTGTGTGAAATTTTGGCAGTTCCTCAAAAAAGTTTAACATAAAATTGACATGGCCCAGCAATCCCACTTCTAGATATCTTAGAAGAAAGCAGAGACTCACACATATACACCAGTAGTCATAATAGCATTTATTTACTATAATTGCGTGACCATTATTCAATGTTAAATGAAATTCCAATACAGCCTAGAATGTGGATATACCTTGAAATGCTATGTGAAATAAGCTGGACATGTAGTATTTTAAGTATGGAAGTACCTAAAATAGCAAAGTCAGACACAGAAATAGAGCGGATTCAGACATTACCAACAAAGAGGGGTGTCGAGGAAAGGGGTTTACTTTTTTTTCCAAATATTTATTTATGTATACAAGAGCTGGGGTATGGGCCAGAGCTGCAGGTGGTGAGAGGATTCACCAGAGACAAAGTGGGGAGAGAACAGGTGGATTGACCAAAATATACTGCTGAGGGGAGCAGCAGGTGAGACAGGAGAGGGCTGCTGCACCACTTGGGTCAGCTCCCTGGCCAGAGATCAAACGCATGCTGCAGTGGCTGTGGATAGTTTCATAGTGCTGAGACAATCCTTGTGCCAACAAGGAGGACCAGGAGTTACTTTATAATAGATTCTGAGCTTCTGCTTGGAATGATGAAAAAGTTCTGGAAATGGATCGCGGTTGGGTTTGCACAACACTAAAGGTACTTAATGTCACTGAATTGTACACTTAAAAATAGTTTCATGGAAAACTGTTTGGAGGTTCCTCAAACTGCTAAACATGGAGCTTCCCTATGACCCAGCAATCCCACTCCTAGGTATCTACCCAAAAGACACAAAAACACTGATTGAAAAAGATACTTGTACCCCCATGTTTATTGCTGCTTTATTTACAATTGGAAAAACATGGAAGCAGCCCAAATGCCCAAAAGTAGATGACTGGATTAGAAAGATGTGGTACATATATACAATGGAATATTACTCAGCAACCAAAAAAGAGAAACACATGTCTTTTGCAGCAACTTGGATGGAGCTGGAAAAGATCATGCTTAGTGAGATAAGCCAGAAAGAGAAAGAAAAATACCAGATGGTTTCACTCATAGCAGGAGTATAATGGACCAGGAGAGAAAGTAACAAAAATAATGAACAACCATATACCAGAGACATTCTGTGGGGGTGGAGTGGGAAATGGGATCAAAAATGGGGGGGGGGGGAGGGAAATGCACGGGACTATGGTGGTGGCACAGGGGTGATTTGGTGATGGGAAACCCGCGGGGATTACAATTGAGATGGAAAAAAAATGTGCAAAATGATGTAAAAAAATAAACTTTTTAATAATAAAAAAAGTTTCAAAAATATTGGGCCACCCTGGCAGTGCAAGGGTTTAAGTCTCAGTACTGTGAAGCTACCTACAGCCACCGCAGCATGAGTTCGACCCCCAGCCAGGGAGTTGACCCACCTGGCCAGCAGTGCCTTACCTACTGCTCCCCTCAGCAGTGTATTTCAGTCAGTCTACCTGTTCTGCGCCCTACTCTGTCTCTGGTGAATCCTCTTACCCCTCCTCCCCACCTCTGTCCTACACCCCAACTCTTGTATGCATAAATAAGTAAAGTTAATCTTTGAAAAAATAAAAACTAGCCTTGTTAAGAACATAGAATCAGCATATTAACTGCTCAAATAAAGGTATGGAATGGGGAAAAAACTAAATCTGGCATGCAAGCTATGTGTCAAAATCTGCACAAATCGCACAACTCTGTGACCTTATTCCCTGTCCACTAGACTGTCAGCTGTGGCCTTGTTCTGCCTGAAATTGCATTTATACCCACGGGCCCACATGGCTCCTCACTCCTCTGGTCTCTGCTTAAATACCTCCTGCACAGGACCCTTCTAAAATGCTCCTTCCTGGTTTTAGGTCTCTCCACAGCATTGACGATAGCTGACATCCTATGCATTTTATATCTTCCTTTGTTTTTGTCTATCCCACTAGCATGTGAGCTTTGTGATTTCAACATTCAGAATATCACCTTTGCTTGCAGTATTTGTTGAATGAGTGAATGGTTGACTAAATCACTGGCCCTCAGTTTGTTCACTAATAAAATGGGGTAAACAACATCTGTGAAGCACAAATGTCTAGGGGGAAACCCAGAATCCCAACGCTGCTGGCCTGGCTCCAGAGTCCTAATTATTGACTAGGAAACCACCCCAGCAAAAGGCGTCAGCCAGGCACTGACAAGGAGCTGGAGATGAGTCAGTAACGCTCCTGTCCTCACACACAGAATGAGAAATGCCAGAATACAGATACACACCATGGGGCTCGGAGGTTACATCCAGGTAGGACCTTTCACTCTTTCCCAGCAAGCCCCACCCTGTCACGCCACATGTCCCTTGGCCTCCTGTCCCACAACGTGCTCTTAATGGGTGCTGATGCCTCCTCATTGAGTGTATGGCTCATCTCTCCTGCACCCTAAATCTTACCAAAGGTGTCTAGAAATGAAACCTCTTAAATCAGTGGGTAAGATTTCAGGCCCAGAGAACCTGGTATAGCCTGAATTCTGACTCAAGATGTAGCTGCTGGGCCCTCCCTGGTGGCACAAGGGATTAAGTCGCAGCACTATGAAGCTATCCATAGCAGCTCGACTTAGATCCCTGGCCAGGGCGGTGACCCACAGTAAGATCATTCAACAACCATGTCCCTACTCCCAACCCCTCCCCTTGTCACCCATGACTGGTCACTTTTTCAAAGACTAAAAGGTCTTATCAGAGGCTGATGTCATCATATCTCAGCCTTTTGGCTAAGATCAAGTAGCTAAGGCTGCTGTCAGGAACAGGAGAGCAGGGCCAGGTGGAAAGAAGCTGGCTGACTTTAAAGATGTTGTTTCTCTGATTTTTTTTTTTTAAAGGAAATGCATACTGTACACATGAGAGACTCCAAGGCTGAGAGATACTATGGCGGTTGAGATGCACCTGGGCGCTCCTAACTGTTCCCTGCCTCAGCTTCAGGGGGTGGGTCAGAGGGCCGCCCACCCAGCACCAGTGCAGGCGCTACCGTCACTCCCAGCTCAGACTGCCCCCTTCCCCCCCGAGCACTTGTCTTCCACTCCAGGCAGAGACGTCCCTACTGTCCAGTGTCAGTTGGACAGAACTTCCCGCCTCAAGCAGAGTTGGCTGGCCCTGCCTTGGTGTTTCGAAACACAGTTGTGAGTGGACCTACCTAACCGCTGCCAGGCTGATTCTTCCACATGGGAAGAGAAGACGTGACATTTATCCTCACTGCCTGCATTGTCACTACTTTTATGTCCCGAAATCCAGCTTTCACCCTTTTGCCCTTTGACTGGGCCAAACGTGCTCCACAAGAGTTTTCATCCTTCGGTGCGTGAACATGAGAGCTTCCGAATTGCCAGGCACACTGCCTGGCCCAAAGGGGTCTCTGAACCAGGCCCCCTCCCCTGCCTCCGAAGTCCAGCTGGCCCAGCTATTGCCAGAGCTGCAAAGAGGTGGCAAATGGAACAGGAGGGGAGTTGTGAAGTTAAGGAAAAATAGATAAAGAAAAATGTCCTGCCTTTCCCCCACTATCACCCCCTAGTTAACTCTTAGTCAATTCAAAAACTAAAACCAGGGCCAGCTCCACCCTTTTCTGGCAAACGGCCTTCCAGTTGTGCTCTTTGCAGGGATGTTATGGCCGGCAGCAGGCAGCCAGTGCTGGGATTTGAGTAATCACAAGGCCAAGTGGGGTGTGTGGGAAGGTGTGCTGTTTGGTCTGGCCCGAGGCCCATGACACTGTAGCTATTTTAAATGGATCCCACAGCCTTTCATTTGCTTCACTAATTTCTCTAAAATAGAATTGTTTATCTGTGGGTCAAAATTGGAGAAGCTTCTTGTTCACCACCAAACTGCTCTGTCTGAAGACAATGTGTACACCACAGCCCAAGGGCTTGGCACCTAGCGGCTGAAAGGCGCGGAGAGAGATCTGTGCTTTGCTTCCCAGTATCCTCAGAACCAGCCATCTGTTGGGCGCCCAGTGAGTAATTTTCCTCTTGAAGGAAGTAATTGTTACACACATCTTTATTTCCTTGTGCTATATTACTACAAGTGGCATCCTTAGAGCGGAAGGTATGTGTATTTTAAATTCTTTTTCTTTATGCATATTATCTGCAAATTAACATTCCCTTTTGTAACATAAACAAGTGCTCATTTTCCTTAGAGAACATACTTTTTGGAAACAGAAAAAAATTAGTTTGAACTATATATGTTTCTAATGGTAACTTGTGGTATTGAACATACTTTGAGGAATTTTTTCTCTGTAATCTGATAGGTTAACAGCTTATATTTACAGCGTGTATTATTACTGTGGCTCTGCTTCTAACCACCCTGGAAAGAATACTCTTGAGTTCATATAGACGTAGCTTTTCTCTGGCTTAACTAAAACCATCCCTGCCACAGGACCATGATACCTGGACTCAGGGTGAGGTGGTCCGGGCACTAAGAGGGAGAGATGGCAGAGTTTTCAAAATGTCAACCTTGGTGATGTAGCATTAGCTGAATTTAAAATAAGCTGTTTTTTTTGTGTTGTTGTTGTTTTTAATCCATGGGTTTTATCTTTTGGGGGTTCTTGTAATATTTTTTAAAAGTTTAATCTATTTTTTTCTTACATTGTTGTTAATTTTTGGACAATATATGAATCCCCCCTTAGGTGTGGTCCCCACAGTTTACCCCCCACCACATCACCCTGAGCCATCACCACAGTGCTCTTCCCTCCCCTGTGTTGACCCCTCTCCTCTCTCTTCCCTGCTGTAGGCCTCAGATCTATGGTTTGCCTGCACGTTTTGTCTTTCTCCGGGCCCTATATTCCACCTACAAGGGAAACCACCTCGTATTTTTCTTTTCCCATCTGGTTTGTTTCACTGAGCATGATCCCCTGCAGCTCCATTCATGTTCTGCAAGTGACATAAGTTTATCTTTTTGCCCATGTTCAGTGGCTACTTTTAAACTCAGCCTCTACACTGATCCCCAGGGTTAGAATCTTGAGGCAGAGTTCATCTAGTGCTATTCCTTGTGTTTCCTTGTTCTAATCTCTCCTCCACCAGTGGAAAAAAAGGCTGCAAATGCATACATAGCATGTGCATTCTTACCAGAGAGGGACTCGCGGTTACATGTAGGTATGTGTGTAGAGTTTATTTTAGTTAACATTCAAATCACAGGGCATGGTGTTGCCTACCATTAAAGTGGTCCTTACCCAACAACAGGAAGTTACTTTAGGAAGAGGCAATGTTACTTTGGCACCCTACTACCAGCCTTAGCTCAGGTGAACTGCTGACCATGCTGGGGATAAAGACTGAGATCTGGAAATGACCTTGGAAAGTCCAGAATTTCCAGAATTCAAGGCCTCCCATGGAAGATGAGGTCTGTAATGTGGGAGTGGAGACTGAGTGTCTCAGGGGTCTGTCTGAATGGGGATGTCAGAAATCTACATTAAAATGCTTCCTGGAGAATCTGGGGTGCTACCCAGATCCAGGCTGGTCTGGGTTTGATCTGGGTTCTGCCCTTTGGCTGTGTGTGATCTAAGGGAGGCAAATGGACTGGGATGATGAGAGGCATTGTATCAAAATATAAATAGGGGCCTCCCTGGTAGCGCAATGGGTTAAATCTCAGCACTAGGAAGCTATCCTCAGCCACTGCAGCAAGAGTTAAATCCAGCCAAGGAGCTGACCCACATGGCAGACCTCTCCTGTCTTGCCCACTGCTCCCCTCAGCAGTGTATTTCAATTGATCCACCTGTTCTGCTCCCCACTCTGTCTCTGGTGAATCTTCTTACCTCCCCATGCCCCTGACCTACACCCCAGTTCTTGTATGCATAAATAAATAAAATAAATCTTTAAAAAAACAAAATACAAATAGTCTTAGCATATAGTGATAATAGTTAATGCTTAGTAAATGCCTACTCTGTGTTTCTCGTCTATTAACTCTTCGAAGCTGTGTAATGCAACAAACTGAGGTAGGTACTATTTTTTTATAATGATCATTGCAAGAAAAAAAAACAGCTACAGAGAGATTAAGGAACTTAAGGATAATAAATGACAGAACTGGACTCTCCAGACTATAGAAATCTGGCTCAGCGTCTACATGCCTTCGTACTATATTCTGCCCCTCAGTTACTGGGGTGTTTATAATTTCCCAGGATGAAGTATAATTCCACTTCTAACAACCATACCTAAAGAAAGAATAATGCTACATTAAAAAAACCAAACGAAGGGGCCCTCCCTGGTGGCACAATGGGCTAAAGCACAGCACTGCAAGCTAGCCACAGCTGCTTCAGCGAGAGTTCAATCCCCGGCAAGGGAGGTGACCCACATGGTGCGGCTGACCTCTCCTGACCTGCCAGCTGCTCCCCTCAGCAGTGTGCTTCGTCAATTGGCCTCTTCTGCTCCCCACTCTGTCTCTGGTGAAGCCTCTCACCACCCCTGCACCTCTGGCCTGTACTCCAGTTCTGTATTTATAAATAAATAAATCTTTAAAAAAAGAAAGAAAAGAAAAGAAATAGCTACAGTCCCCAATAATTCTCAGCCACTCCTTCTCCCTGAGGCCAGGATGGTGATGAAGTTAGAACACCCAATGGACTAGTCAATTGTGACTGATTCATGCTGTCTCTCTTCAGGGGTTTGCTTCTCAGGGAGACCATGTGGGCTGATGCCCTTAGCATCCCAGCCAGAAATTTCCAGGAAGCCACAGCAAGTTTCCAGGAACCCCAACTCCCACCTTAGCTCTAGGTAAGGGGGAAAGGGGTAGATATTCCCTCCAAGGGAGCTGTGTTTTGTAATTTTTTTTTTTTAAATTGTAGTATATAGGCTTCACTGTTTCAAAGTGAAGTGTTTAATCTGGGTTAGGGTAAAATGATCACCAAACATCCTGGAGAAAATGATGAGAAACTTAAAAGAAAAATAATTTTAAGTTTTCTTTCTCATTACATTTTCCATTCACCAAGTAAAATCTACTCCTTTTTTTTTCCATAAAAGTTCACACTGGGTATGTTTCTATGAAGAGTCATCTCATGCAGCCCACACATAAGATGACACTTGATTCAGTCAATCTGTTCTTAGGAACAATGTAAAAATATATTTGTGGTAAGATTAACAATTTTCTTGTTTGAACTCTGTATACCAAGGCGGCAGCCACCTGCCTCTTCAGGTGCTGGAAATTATCTATGTGAAAGCTGAAATCAAATTTTGTATAGTAATAGAATCTGTCTTATAACCTGATAAGATTTAAACATATCTGTCCCAAAGTGGTTCTTTAAATAAAAGTGTCTTCACATTTGAAAAGATTTGTAAGCATTAACTCATTGAGCCCTTCTTACTCATAGCACAAGTCTTCTATTGTTTATCCCCAAACCTTTCCTTTACTTCATTTCCCAAATTTTGCATTTGTTGGCAAAAACGCATTACCCATTTTCCATAAGTGATGATACCATCAAATCTTACTTTGACTTATAGTATCATTTGGATTTTATTTCATACTGACTACTTGTAAGAGTAGAAAGGAAACAGTTATATTACCTAATGTGTTTGAATTAAAGCATCACATAATTATCATTCTACATTCTTTTCATGAAATAATACAGTTTAGAAAAAAAAGTTAGCTCATTTCTCTCTAATTATACCCACCCAAGCAATGAATCTACAAAATTTTTTTTTAATAATCTTTGATACAGTTAGGACAGAACCACCATAATATAGAATGGAGATACTATCCAACAAATGCTTCTTGTGTATAAAGACAAGTTCCACGTCATTAATCAAGGTCTAACTTCTCCATAGTTAATTTTATAATAGTTTGACTGTTAAATGATATGAATTCTTTTGGCTTATGCTACCCGAAATATTTTTTTTGTTATGTATCAAGAGCTATAAAAATCTTTATTGTTGGACCCCTAAATACCATATCCTAAAAATATATCCAAAGGAAGTAATTTAACATGTAGGTGAAGCTATAGCCAGAAAACTTTTCATATTTTACTTTAAAATAGTAAAAAGAAAGAAAAGAAGCTAAATATTGAGACAGGACTGATTGAGTACATGATATTAATCTAGTGGATAGAACCTGAAGAGGTGTAAACCTATACCCTGATTCATACACAGTTAATAAAGCAATGTTTCCACAGTAAAAAATAAGTATAAAGTATCATTTTTATAACAGTTGAGAATAATAAAAGACATTAAAGTAAGGAAGATAATTGGCATGGTTTTTACTTACATAGTTTTTGCCATAAGGTTTTTTTGATTAAAGAAAGCCTGAAAAATGAAGAGAATAGGAAAAAATGGTAACATTTAGTATAAAAAAACACAAACAGCTATGATATGCTTACAATTAAATCTTTGTTAAAAAAACTATTGAAATTGCTTTATTAAGGATTCTTCTTTTCTTTACCAAATTACATGTAATACAATTTATAATGAAAAATATATTTTAAAAAAACACCTCTTGATGTAAAAATAAACTGTTATAAAACTAAAAACCAAATAAATAAATAAATAAAAATAAAAACCTTGTGGAAACATGTAAAAAGAAAAAAAGAAAGAAAGAAAATGCCTCTTCTAGTTTTTCCTAAGGGATTTCTGAATTTATTTGGAAGTTGATTTACTTAATGGCATTTTAGTGTCTCAGAATTTATAATTCATATCTCTCTAATGAAACTTCTCTAACTATCTTTCTAATAAAATACAACTTTGATTAAAAAAAAAAAACACCCTTTGAGAGATAAAATCTCTTGTCTGGCTTAGAGAGAAGCTTCATTCCTTGTCCCAACCTGTGAATTTTCCTGATTGTGTTTATTAAACATTAATTTTACTTTTAGTTTATCTCCCCCAGAGGTACTCTTCAGGTAATAACTTATAACATTTGATACATGGGAGGAATTTCCTGTGTTAAAGATGAATAATAAGTCTGAAACAAGTTACTCATTTAATTCTCTCCCCAAATAAATCCATAACATATCCAGAAATGAAAAATCAACCATTAGTTCATTTCCCCTGAACTTTGATTTAAAAAGGAGTTCAAGTTCTTGCAAATTGCTGTAATAAAGTTTATTTATGCAGTGTTGAATAAATTGAACTCTCACATGAAACAAGAATGTTAAACTTAGGATACCTCACTGGGAGCTTTGTCCACACCTGGCACCCAGAGGAACTTTGAAGAAGAGAAATCAAAGAACTGCTCCAAAATTTTGCCAGGTACCTCAGTATTTTGACTTTGCAGGTGACAGAGTGAGGATGGGAGAGTTAAGCTAACTTACCCAAGGTCACAGGGCTAGTAAGTGACAAAAAAACAGAGATTGATTCCCACAAATAACTGACTACAAGAATCTTGGACCTCTCCCCTCTCCTGTTATTATTACTATGAGAATTGAACAAGGGAAAAAAATGATATAGAAATGTATGCTGGAAAGGGGGGCATGAATGGTCTCTGTGGCTTCAGGGTCACCAACTCTTCATATGCCTCCGCTACCCCAAAAGAACAGAGAATGGCAACAGTAAAGCTCTGGGGAAAAAACAAACAAGACACTGGCCATGACCCATTACAATTTTCTTTTAAAAAATATTTTAATCTTTTGTTGTAGGGAAATTCTGATCAATGGTGTTTTGCTTCAGTGGGCCACTGTTGAGAGCTTGGAAATGTTATTTGGCATGTACAGATACATTATTACATTATTCTTATTTAATAACAATAAGTTACTGACAAAATTGGTAACTTTTCATTCCATTTTTGGAAAAACAGGTATTTATAGAAAGTTATGTGTACATAATTATATGTACATTCTACTTACCATTAGATCTATTTCAGTTCCAAAGGAACATTTGCAAGGAGGAATTCTTTCTAATTTTTTCTAAGATGTGAGGCTTTGGGTGATGGTCCCTCGGTGTTAGTTTAGTCGTAAATGAGAGGTACTTTGGAGTAGTGGGAAGTCAGTTTCAATGAATCATTTCCTTGAAGTCAGGTTCAGTGAATCATTTCCTTCTTTGCAGCTCCTTGGTAAATTTCTTAGCCTATCTGGATGCCTTTCTCCTCTGCTCCCCATAGCTGTGGGAGTTATATTTCAATAGTATAAACCTAGGAAATGACCTGATTTCACTAGTTAAAATAATTTTCATGAGTACTACTTGAGTTGATAATGTGTTCACATGGTTTAAAACATAAATGACATAAATGAGGATTGAATGTGATCTCCCTCTATGGGCTCCTTTCCAGGTGTCCTGGACCCAATCCCCAGCTCTTTTGCAAAATTGTGTGAAGGGTAAATAAAACAAGATGAATAGACATAATCTGAAAGAGATTATTCTATGGTGGGAACCGAGGTGACAAGGTGACGGTCCCTTTCATAGCCTCCTCCATGTTTTCTGAGACTTCTAGCACCAGCACTCAACTAAACTACCAAATAGTCACAGTGCTTTTCAAGACATTTCTACTTTGAACTTAGCTAATGTTCAAAGAAAATTGTGGAGCCATTTCTGTAGAATTTGATTGATAATTGATCTTCCTTTGTCCTATCTATATTTTCATTTGAAATTTGCTTTTTCTGCTGTTGTAATACAAGGAATCAGAAAAAAAATGTTTTGGGCTATTTTGAGATTTTTGTATTTTAGCTCGGGACAAAGTGCACAAGAAATAAAAATTAAACAAAATACCTTTAATTTCCCTTAAGCCAATTCAGTAGTTTTAATCTTCTGATTAAGAGTGATTTTCTCTGCATTTATCAGAAAACCGTGGGCTGAGCAAATGAACAGCAAAAGAGACTATTGAGGTGTGGGTCTGGTCTCATGCCTGGCTTGCACTGGCATGATCACCAAACATTTTTGGCAAATCTTTCCATTAAAAATTTTAATTTAATCACAAATTTAAGTTAACTGCATATTTAAACTCACCTTTAAAAAGCGTTCTCTAGGACTTTATTTTTTCCTTGTAATCTTAAAAATTTGTCTATTTATAACTACAAGAGCTGGCTGGTAGGCTGGTGGAGAGTTGAGAGGATTCACCAGAGACTATGGGGAGCAGAATAGGCTGACCAATGAAATACACTACTGAGGGAGCCTGAGGAGACTGGAGAGGTCTTCCTACCAAGTGGGTTGCCCCCTGCCTGGGGATGGAGCTCGTGCTGCAGTGGCTTCCAACAGCCTCCTGGTGCTCAGACTTAATCCCTTGTACCACCAGGGAGGCCCTAGGACCTTTTTTTTTTTTTTCCCACAACAACGTTGGATAAATCTAAAATAAGGTATGTTAGGGCCTCCCTGGTGGCGCAAGGGGTTAGTTAAGTCGCAGCACTATGAAGCTCTCCACAGCCACTGCAGCACAAGTTCAGTACCCGGCCAGGGAGCTGACCCATATGACCTGATAGATCTTTCCTGTCTCACAGCTGCTCCCCTCGGCAGTGTATTGCATTCAATTGCCTTTTATACTTCTCACTCTGTCTCTGGTGAAAGCTCTCACTTCTGCATCTCTTGCCTGTACCCCAGTTCTCGTATGCAGAAATAAATAAATCTTAGAAAAATAATAATGTTATTTTGCAAGAATTACTCCCCTTCTCCCAGTATTTGACACCAGAGATTTATTGTAGTAATAATGTAGTATTGCGAGTAGTGCTAAAAATCTAACTCCATTCATTTAGGAAAGTAACAATTACAACGATATCCACCCTGTCAAGACAGAGCTTAGACTAACACAACGGGCCACACATTAAATAAGAGTCACGGCATGCAGTGTAGCAGGGGACATTGCTGCGCTTGCATATTTCCGGATAAGATTTAGGCTTTTTCCCGTTCTATCAATAGAATTAATTAGCTAATTAATGCTATTTATTCACTTACTCAGCCCACGAACTTTTGTTAGGAACCTATCCAGTGTCTCTTGGCTTGGAACACTCAATCGAAGCGAGCGAAGATTTAATGATCACAATATTTCCGCGCTTTACTGCTCGCTCAAGAGCAGTTGCCTGGGTGTGACCTCAGGCTCCGGGGGAGTCCACGCAGTAGATACCTCGCCGGGGCGCCGGGACTGGGCGGGGTCAGTCGAGCCGTCGCCCTCGCCGTCGCCGTCGCGTCCATCCCACCCGCGGTCCCTCCCCTACCTATCCTAGCTCAAAAGGCTTTGCCTCGGTGGCTCGGACCACCGGAAATTAGCCCGGGGCTGAGCAGACAGCCAGCAGAACCCACCCGCCCTGCGGGGCTGGCGCACCCTCCCGCTCCGCCGGGCGCCCGCGGGACGCGCCACCAACGCCCTCTCTGCTGGGGGCTCGGCGCTCGCCCACCTCTTCCAAATTTAACCGTTACCTAAATCCGAAGGGAAATGAGCAAACCTCTCGGATTGGGTGTCAAGGTATTTTCAGCCTCGATGGGCGTATTTATCCCGAAGTGTTTCCACAACAAGCTATTTCGGGCCCGCGGGACAGGTTTCGCTCTGCGGACTTTGTGGCCACTCGCCGGGCTCCAGGCCGGCGGCACCGCGGACCGGTGATTCACGGCCGCGACCCGGGGGCGGCGCAGTCCAGGCGGGCGGCGGGGTTGGGGGTGTCCCGGGATAGAGGGACTGGGAGGCGCCCCGGGAAGTGGACGCTCCCATTCTGTGACGCTTCAGTCAATCTCTGTCCTGAATCTGTGACTTCTTCTCGCAGCGGAAGTCTCCTAGGGAGCCAAGAATAGTTCGTTTTCTTTCGAGTCATTTCCAGTGCATGGTTGTCTGGGCCTCTGGGTCTCCCCATCCTTCATCATCCCCAGAGAAAAACTGGGAAGAGTCACCGCGAGTGCGGCTGGAAAGGCCAGGTTTCACCCCGACCTATCCTTGCTCAAAAGAGGAGCGCGCCCCGACGGCCGACTGGGGACTGGGGGTGGGAGGTTAGGTTTGAGAGGTCGGAGCCTCTACATGTTAGTTAACGCTCAGGAAGTGAAGTTGTGGTTTTGGGGGCTGAACTCAGCAAGAGATTAAAAAAAAAAAAAAAAAAAAGACTGCGCGGTCTCTTGAGAGCAACTCAATTTGAAAACTTTCAGAGCGCCGTGCCCGCGTCCTGACCCCGCAGGTAGGTCCCGGAGCCCGTTCTGCTGCTCCCTCCCAATCCCGGGCGGCCACTGAGGCTGACCAGGCACCGGCAGCGCGGGGGCGACCTGAGGTACCGCCGGGCCAGGGCCGCTGCTGGCCGCGGAGCCAGAGCCGGGAGAGCTCTGGCCGTTGGGTCCAGGAGAGACGCTCACTGCTGAGCTGGGGGTCAGAAGAGGGGAACGCGCGTCGGGATCTATGGTGGTTCTGCGGGGGAGCAGAATCCACTCGCAATGGAACAATCTGGTGGGGAGAAGGCGGCAGCTGAGCTCAAGAAGTTGCCCCTCTGCGCTTCCAGCTCCTGCCTTCCCAGGCCTTGGCGGTGAAGAGGCCCCGCCGGGCCGGGTGCACCCAGGGGGCCGCCCCTCCTCTTCCCCCGGCCGCCAGCTGCTGCACTAGGCCACCTTCCCACGCGCTCAGTCCTCAGCCCTCCCACCCCTATCCACTCTACCCTTCTAGAAACCCGGAGAGCAAGCCAGGGTGCCACAGATGTGCGGTGCTGCTGCCGGGGTGGGATGGGGAGTGCGCCCGTTGCGCCTGCCGGATCCCGCGTGGTAACTGCCGGAGGAGACCCGGCGCCGGCGCCGTTATCTCCACCCGGTGGCCCTTCCACCCCCTGTTCAGTCCGCGCCAACGCTGACCCAAGTGGCAGCGGGGCCTTCAGGACCTTTCTGTTGCGTTTTCCTTTTTCTCTGGGTTTCTTTCGTAGTTTAACGAATTGGATTCGGTATTTGTGGTGTCTAATTATCACGCTAAAATGAAGTTTTCACCGTGTCGCAGGGAAACTGAGAGGCAGAAACGCGCCCTAGAACAGCACAGCACCCTGAATCTCCAGGAGCTGGGACCCAAGGGGCAGACCCGGACTGGGGCGGTAGGCACCCACACCCCTAGGGACCTTCTGACGCTTAGTCCGCGGGAAATGTTGCTTGGGGGCTCCGCTAAATGTCCCAGGTGTCTTTCTTCCCAAGCGTGTCCCCAAACCTCCCCCACCCCGGAAAAGCGACACAGTGGGGCGTGGAATACCCTCCAGGGAATGAGTCCCCGAGGACTCATTTTCAGCCGGACGACTTAGACCTGTCTGCATCCTGTTGTGAAGCCTTTCGGCTCTAGTCTGGCTTTCCAAACCACGCTAAACCCAAGAAGAAGGGGTCCTACCCGGTGCAGGATTCCCAGGGCCCATGTTTCTGAACTACCCAAAATCGCGAAAAACTGCCGCGCCCAAAGTACTTGCTGCTCCGAAGAGAACCAGACCCACAAAGCCTCCACACGGTAGATTTCGTTTTCCTAAACCTTCCGCCCGCCCTTGCTCGCCCTCAGTCTGGCCTGCGGCTGAGCTGGAAGTACAGTCCCGCCTCCCAGCCAGGCTCAGGTTTCGACTTCGGGATTAGGTGAACTGATTGGGGGGTTAATGAGAGTGGCGCAGCGGGCAGCTCGCTTGCCTTCAGACGAGCCCTGGACCCTGACTCTGGCCTCTGCGGGTTCTTCGCTGTCACCCAACACCGCGCGTTTCTCTGGTTAAGCGCGCGCCATCCAGCTCGCCTTCCCCAGGACCAGGTTTTGGTGAGCATAACAGAAGGTGCTTTTTCCTAGGACTTGATTTTTGAGGTTAGGTCTTCAAGGTCTGGGGTGTCTTCCTCTCGCCGACGCTGCCTGCTCACGCCGCACCCACGTCTTGGGGCCAACTTTAACTTTGAGTGGGGCCCGAGTGAGGGGCGAGCATGATCCCTCGGAGGCGAGTTTTCTCTTAGACCCCGGTGGCACCTCTGTCTGTCACCATCCTTCTTCCTGTCCCTCTCTAGTTGTCCCTCGGACCCCGCCCCTTATTCCCGCCTAGAGCACCCCGCCTCTGCCTACACTCCCTTCAGTGAATAGCTGACTGTTGGAGGTCTTGGGTCCTGGCCCCCTCCCGGCCCTCGACCACCTACACACTCCCCAGTCTCAAACGGATCCGCGCGTCCCTGTTCACCTTCCCGGGTGAAAGCGGAGTCAGACAGACTGTGAGTGGTCGTGAGAGTGTAATTTGGCTTTTCAGAGGGTCTGGTTGTCTGGGAGAGTTTTGCTCTAAAAGGAAGGGGCCAGAAGTGCGGGCAGGGCAGAAGGAAGACGTCTGAGCCTCGGGTCGGAACAGGTTTTACCGCTGAGCTTTGGTGGCGCGGGCGGGCTCGCGCCACCTGTCCGAGTGCCACCTGGTAAGCGCGGCACTGCGGGGCCAAGCCCCTCCTCTCAGGACCTTCCTCGCTCCTCCCCGGCCGGAGCTCTCCGCCCCGCTGCCCAGACCCGGGCGCCGGAGGGTACTAACCCGAGTTTCCACCTGGTTCTCGTCTCTCAGCTCTCCGCACTGCTGGGATTGAGCAAAGACTCGGGGTGACAGTGGGCTGACGACGGCGCCAGGGGCCCTTGGAGCAAAGCGAGGAGCGCACCGGATCACCATGCCGCGTTCGTTCCTTGTCAAGAGCAAAAAGGCTCACAGTTATCACCAGCCGCGCTCCCCGGGACCCGACTATTCCCTCCGGCTGGAGAATGTGCCGGCGCCCGGCGGAGCAGGTGCGGAGCGCGCGAGGCTGGGCGGGGCTGCTTTCGGGGACGCAGACTGCACTGGCCATACCATCCCCCAGAAAGCGAAAAGGGCAGCCCGACATCCCCTTTTCCTGCCTTTTTATTTTGGTTTATTTCCTATAGTCCGGTTCCTTCCGGACCCATCGCCCGGGTGCCGCGGCCTGTCTGCGCCCGCACTCTGATTGGGGAGGGCTCCGGGCCAGGTCTAGGGAACAGAGGGGAGATACCTGGGCGCCACGGTCTGGGGCAACTACGTCAAAACCAAGTGGGCCCAGCCTGAGCCGGTACCCTGCGTCCTCTCCGCAGACAGCACTTTAAACTCAGGCAGGGCGAAGGCGGAGTCCAAGGATCGTTTGTCCCCCGAGTCGCAGCTGACCGAGGCCCCCGACAGTGCCTCGGTCTCCCCCGGCAGCTGTGAGGACAGCATCTGCGATCGGAGCTCGGAGTTTGAGGACTTCTGGAGGCCTCCTTCGCCCTCTGTGTCTCCAGGTAGGGGCGCTTTGTAAACTGTTGGGGCTGGGGCAACAGAGCCCCTGCTGTGAGTAACGCTGTGTCGCTGCTGTGGGCGCTGACTTGCTACGAGGGCGTCGGAGAGGCTTAATGAGGGCCGGAGTGAGTGTAAGAGGCTCAGTGGAGAGACATCTGGCTTCTGTGGAAGTAGGGAGCGTGCTGGCAGAATTCTCTGCCTGGATTCCTGACGACCAGACCAGCTACTTACACCTAACGTTCGTTTGCACTCATTGGATAGTGAGAAAAAAAGGAATCATCTCGATTGGCAAGACCCTCGACATTTCGTTTTCTGACCAGAGTTTATTCAGAAAGAACTGGGGTCCCAGAATCTAGATCCCCTGTATCCCAAATAAATGAGGCTCTGATTCATCTGAGACTAGAAGTATCGTTGCCTGCAAAAATTAAGCGTGCCTTGGGCCTGACAAAGATGAGTGCCGGGGAGGGGCAAGGCTTGGTCTTTGCATGCCCCTACTGGGGCACATTTCATTTTTCGTTCTGCGGGGTTGGCCCGGCCTTTAGAACTATCCTGCCGGTTTAATTTCCCACTAGCAATCGAGTTTTGCGCAAACTGAGTGACTGCAGGTTGGAGGAGGGCTGGTCTCCGGTTCCGGCTTGGGGAAGGAGAACTCAGACCAGAGGGATTTGGCCAAGGGTCGATTGTTTCCAGGCTGCGTTTACTAGTTTTAAAAGCAACTCATAACTCTGTCCCAAACTCAATGCATTCATTGGCTTGGCCAAACCTTAGCTTCAGCGAGTGTACTAGGGAGCCAGTGACCCCAGGGTTTTTAACTAAACTGAGCAAGCAATGGGCTCCGCCCATTATCTCTCATAGAAGTCAGGTGCTGCCTGTCAGTGAAGAAGATTGAGGTATTCCTGTACTTGTACAGATTTGTAAATCCGTGTGCACTTTGAGAAAGTATGTTGCATATCTGATTTTGGCAAAATTCATGTGGATGGGAATGCAGAAGGCCTTGAATTCGGAGCTCCATTACCCTTGCAAGCAGTGGCTAGCTTTTAGTATGTTCTCTTAAGAAATTCTGATTCAGGGCCCTCCCTGGTGGCGCAACGGGTTAGAACGCAGCATTGCAAGCTGGCCGCAGCCGCTTCAGTGCAAGTTCTATCCCTGGTCCCGGAGGTGATTCACTTGGCGCAGCGGACCTCTCCTGCTTCCCTCGGCAGTGTACTTCGTTGATCTGCCTGTTCCGCTCCCCACTTTGTCTCTGGTAAAGCCTCTCACTGCCCCTGCACCTCTGGCCTGTATCCCAGCTCTGCATAAATAAATAAATCTTTAAAGGATTCCGAAACTTTGGGGTTTGACAGGGATCAGGAAATGGTGGGGTTGGGCGGCAACTAAGCCCCATGCTGCTTTTCGGGAGGTTTCCCCCAGACAAACACGTCGTGTGGAGGCCAAGCCCCCCTTTATCGGTCCTCTGTCTCCCTCCATATCAAAAGAGAAGACTAGAGGGAACTTGTTGGGGCCAGGGTAGATGGTCCCCTTGTAAGCGATTTCTGCTCATAATCCCTGTGCGGGGCTCAAATGTTGGCGGGCTTCGCTTCCCGCACAGTTCAGCTAAAAGCATTATTAACTTCACGGGGAGGCACAGCCCGGTGGTCGCGCCCACCCAGAAAAGAGCCTCTAACTGTCTTGCGCTTCTGCTGTCCTGGCCCATAAATTACCGCTCTCCTCGCCCGACGTGACTTTAATCGCTGGCTGCCTCGCCACCTTCGAGGCCCTCGAAGCCTCAGGAACCAGCCCCACATTATCCTGGAGGCGGTGGTCTGCAAACCCGGTACCTGGCAGCAGCAAACATGGAGTGGTACATGCACCCGGCCGCTCAGCCGCTGAGTCTTAAGCCTGACACCACGCCCCTTATGCCTCCACAGCCTCGGAGAAGTCGGTGTGCCCATCGCTGGATGAAGCCCAGCCCTTTCCCCTTTCCTTCAAGCCGTATTCTTGGAGCAGCCTGGCGAGTTCTGATCTGCGGCGCCTGGTGCAGAGCTATCGGCCGTGCGCGGCCCTGGAGCGCGGCGCGGGCTTGGGCCTCTTCTGCGAGCGCACCCCAGAACCTGGCCACCCCGCCGCACTGTACGGTCCCGAGCGGGCTGTGGGCGGCGCCGGGGCCGGGACGCCCGGGGGCGGCAGTGCGGGAGGCGGCGCTGCGGGCGGCTCGGGCCTGGGGCTCTACGGCGACTTCGGACCCGCAGCCGCTGGGCTGTATGAGCGGCCAGCTGCGGCGGCCGGCGGGCTTTACTCAGAGCGAGGCCACGCGCCCCATGCGGACAAGGGTGCTGGCGTCAAGGTGGAGTCCGACATCCTGTGCACGCGCCTGCTGCTGGGCAGCGGCTCCTACAAGTGCATCAAATGCAGCAAGGTGAGGCTCCCGCGCACCTAGCCGGCCACCCCGCGCCCCCCCCCCGCGCTCCCGAGCCCCCACGGCGCCCGTGCGTTGGCGCCCGGCTCAGCGGCCCTCTCCCCGCCCGCCCGCCGCAGGTGTTCTCCACGCCTCATGGGCTCGAGGTGCACGTGCGCAGATCCCACAGCGGCACCAGACCGTTCGCTTGCGAGATGTGCGGCAAGACCTTCGGGCACGCGGTGAGCCTGGAGCAGCACAAAGCCGTGCACTCACAGGTAAGAACGGGGCTCCTGGCTGTGCGAGGCCCTGCTCTGGTTTTTCTCTCCCCCCTTCCCCCCCCCCGTGCTCCCCATCCCCCTTCGCTCCCTCTCCCCCCAAACCCCCCCCCCTCCCCTCCAACCCCTTCACCACGGTCTCATCCATTCCCCTTGCCCACTGCAGGCAAAGGTGGGGGGGGGGGCCTAGCACCTCTAGGAAGCCTTGGAGGTCGATGCCGCATCATTTGAGCCCCCCAGAGGGTAATCTGGCTCATTACTTTGAGTCTGAGAAGATTTAGAAGTTCTGTTTCTTTGCCTCACTTCTTTTTACAAAATGGTGGTCACCCAACTGCATCCCGACTGCAAAAGGAGGCTCTCGGCCCATGGAGAGCATACAGTAGCGTATTTGTCCTGCTGTTATTTCGTTCATTCGACCTATAAATATTTGTAGCCCAACTTTCCAGGTGCCAGGCACTGGAGAATTGCTACCACATCAGGTCCCTGACAAGAGGCCCCCAAGGAGATTACATGTTAACTGAGAGACAGAGATAAACAAATAAGTACAAAGTAACCGAGACCATAGGATGCTCACAAAGACTTATTTACTAAGAAAAGTATCCTCACATCTCTTTCAGCAACCACACGCCGAGGGGGAGGGGGTAGTCTTAAGTGACTCAAGCCTAAGTAAGCCTTCTGTTGAGGGTGGAGAAGTGTTTGTAAATGGTGTCAAAAAATCAGGGTGGGGAGACTTTTTTTTTTTTTTTTTTTGCCTTGGGGTGTAGAGAGGGTTGTGGGTGAAATGTGTTGGGGTAGAAAAAGTGTTAAAGGGGAAGAGGATAAAAGTAGAGGTGGAAGGGGAAGCTTTGGGGAATGGGCTACTGAAAGAAGGAGAGTTCTGGTTTTGGGGGTTTTAGGATCAAGCTGGCTGGTGGTGAGAGCAGAGGATGATGCAGTAGGAATGCCACCTCTTTCTCTACATAGGAACGGAGCTTTGACTGTAAGATCTGTGGCAAGAGCTTCAAGAGGTCCTCGACACTGTCCACCCACTTGCTCATCCACTCAGACACCCGGCCCTATCCCTGTCAGTACTGTGGCAAGAGGTTCCACCAGAAGTCAGACATGAAGAAACACACCTTCATCCACACTGGTAAGCTGAGCCCTTGGGGAGCTTACCAGGCAGAACAACAAAGTACACTGCTGAGGGGAGCAGTGGGTGAGACAAGCGAGATCTGCTGCGCCCACCCATATGGGTCATCTCCAGGGCAGATTGAACTCACACAGAAGCGGCTGTGGCCAGCTTGCAGTGCTGCACTAACCCATGCACCACAAGGGAGGGCCCAAGCTGAAACCCCTTGATTCGAAAGCCAAAGCCGCACTGGATGGTCTGGTGTGTGAGAATGGAGGGTGGGGAATAGCATTATTCTTCCCCCTGAGGACAATATAACTCACCTATGTGATAGACTGGTCCCAGAGTGAGTGATGAATAAGACCTTCTAGTCAGTTAATCACTGCAGTGAGTTAAAGAAATCAAGTTGCAGATTCTCTTAGGTTCGTTTACAGAAGAGTTGTCCCCTTAGGGGCTTGATTTGGTTTGTGTCTGAAGAGCCTTTAGGCAGGTCAGCTGCAGCTTCAGTAGCCTTGCAAAGAATATTTTCTTTTAGGTTAGCAGCTGCTCCAACTGCTGCCTGGTCTCAGTGTAATATGAAGCTGCAGGGTCCTCTCAGAGCATTGCTCTAAATATTTACCTAGAGATTGAGGACTGTGTAGGGTTCCCACCCAGCCTTTTGCAGGAAGGACTATGTGTGGCCTCTCTACCTACATATTTAAGAGTCTGAAAGCTTATTCTCATGGAGGAGGAAAAAAACAATGATTAATATTATAAGCTGTCTGCTAAACACTTTTTCAATGCATCATCTCATTCTGTGCTCACAAGTCTGGGTTGGTAGAGATTATTCCTAAACCCTATTTCAGAGATTCAGAAAGTGAAGCACAGAAGGCTTAGATGACCTGTGTAGGGTCGCATAGCTAGCAAGTGGCAGGGGCATATCTTCTGACCTCAGATGTCTCTGCTCTTAACCACTGTTTATTGTATTCTATTTTCAGAATCATGTGGGTTGGTAGATATAGAAAGCTTCTATTTACTTATTGTCCTTTTCAGTATATTAGACAGCCCATGTCATAGTAGTGATAACTTTTTACTGATAGAATGCTTTCAAATCTAACACTGTATTGGACCCTGAAACTCTGAGAGATTAAGTCATTTGCCAAAGATCACACAGAGTAAGTCGTGGGGCCATGGGATGCTTTGACTTGGAGTCCTAGACTTTTCCCTACTGTTTCAGTTGTATATAGGTGGCCATTTTATTGCAGGGAACACTCTCTAATAGTCAATAAGATTTACACTATATCCAGAATTCTGACTATTTTTATTCCAGCATGTGAATACTGATTTAGAACAAATTGCAGTGTGTGTCTTCCAGACGCCCACCGTTGATATTTATAACTATGCTTGAGCTGTATAGATGCACCATCAGAAAATACAGGGTAATCTGCTACTTAAATCATGTCCCTTTGCCTGAAATTTCCATGTAGTTTACTCCTTTTGAGTAAAGGTTTTCAAGATATTACCAAAATGCAAGTAGGATCTTGACTGAAGGAGATGAGATGTGAAACTCTTATCAAACATTTACTATAGCCAGAATTTGTTTCTCAGATTTGTTTGACCCTAAGGAGATAGGCTGTTTTGATGGCTGGATCCTATCAGGGAAACCTGAAGTATAAAGACAGGAAGGGATAGCAAGAGGGATGGAGGGTTCCTCAAAAACAATCTATTTTTTCCAAGTCCAAGCCCTGACTATAATACTATGCTGAGACTATTTAGAAATCCATACTGTTTATCCAGGTGAGTTAGGGAAAAGACAAAACCTTTTCTGTTTCTTTATGCATTGATCTATGGTGAAGAATTGCTGGTACATAAAGAAGCCTATACTTAACCTCATAAAGAGAAAATAAAATCAAGAAAGAAAAAGGATCAGCTTCATATTTGTATAGCCCTAAGAAAATTTTGGCTAAATGTGGATTTCTAAAAAATGAGACTTTGAGAAATGTCCATACCTCAGATACTTTCTGTTGTCCTTCAAGAGCAGGAAAAAAGACAGATTCACTGGTCCATACAAACCAACACCCACTTGGAAACTCAGATTTGAAAACTTCCTCTGAATTAGAAGTCACGTGGTTTGAAGGACATCCTCCCTCCCCCTCACGCTGAACATCTGTTGTGGGAGCTGTCTGCTGCTAAAGTTAGGGGTGTCCTCTCAGGGTAGATTCAGCTGCAGGTCTGGGGACTGTACATGGCCTTTGCTCTGTTTCCGTTTAGCAGGAAACGGTTTGAGGCCTTTGGCTGGGAACCCCCACTGTGAAATTCTTTCACCCCCTTGCACCCCTTGCTTCCCAGGACTTGTGCTGCAAAAAAAACGTCACCCTCCCAGTTGTGCAGCCACCTGGCGCCAAGAGCATGTGGGTCACAGAGAGCCCCCCTAGTTTTATCAGACTCATACTTCCTCCTCTCCCCCCTTCCATCCTTGCAGGTGAAAAACCCCACAAGTGCCAGGTGTGCGGCAAGGCATTCAGTCAGAGCTCCAACCTCATCACCCACAGCCGTAAACACACAGGCTTCAAGCCCTTTGGCTGTGATCTGTGTGGAAAGGGCTTCCAGAGGAAGGTGGACCTCAGACGGCACCGGGAGACCCAGCACGGCCTCAAATGAGTGCCTGGCAGGGACTGGGGCTGCAGCTACTCAACACTACGGCAGGAGGGCACCCCGCCCCCCACACTTGCACCATCCTCTTCAATCTCTCAGGTCCCCTAATTCAGTCTGCTGATCTCACTAAGGTGACATCCTCACCATACTTTCCGGAACTGCCAGGGGGGGATAAGTTACCTTTTCAAAGTTCAACTTGAAGGGAGACTCAAAGGACTTATGATTTGGATATATGGAATAATTTCCTGTATAGCTGAAGACTAGAAGTCAAGAAGGGATCAGAAAAAATCTGCCCATTCCCAGCTTTGCTCCACAGACAGGAAAGTCCTTGAGGGTTTTTCCCTCCTCCTCCTCACCTACGCCAGACACCTGGAAGAAGAGGAATCGCCTTTACAAGGTAGACAGATGTAAGCTAATGTTTTTATCGAGAGTGAAGAATGAGTGGTTGTTTTGGTGTTTTTTTTTTTTTTTTTTTTACTTCTGGGGAGTCTGTTGACCCTTTTTTTTGTTGTTGTTGTTGGGTGCTACCTGAAAATTTGGAGAAATCATTTCTCCTGAGTGAAGACTGGTTCAGAAATTTGCTTGGGGGCAATGGTATACATTTGAAAATACAAGATACACTGTTGAGCCTGCCTCAAGAAAGAGCAGAAGAAAGGTGGACTTGGTGAGGAGGGATCTGAGGCCTGTGAAGGCTTCTTCAGAGGAGGTGAAATCAGAAGGCAATGCCTTGGATGAGCTGACAACCATTCCTCCTCTCTGTACATGTGTGATGACCATCAGTTACCCTAGCCCAGGCCCCTGTGCTAGGTGTGAGGAAGTCCTCCCCCTCCTGCCCTTCAAAAGCAACAGTTGTACCTCCAGTCTGTTCTTTCCCTCTGAGGGAACTCTGAGAAGACAAAATGGAATCTGTCTTGAACATTCCCTTCAGACCCATTTGGATTTTATCAAGCATAAACAAAAAATAGCTGAACAGCAACTTCACAGATTCATGTGTATATTTCAGTTTTTTATTAAGCTGATATTTTTAAGATGTCTAAGCTAGCAAGCAATTGTATGATAAAGGGGAAAAATGTAAAATGTGGCATTTTTACCTTGGTGAGGTCTGTAAATGTTTTTAGGTCTTCTGGAGTGCATTATGTTTGTTAATACGTATTTATTAGATGGATGTTTTAAGTTAATAAAGTATTAAGACTCTTCCACATTGCATTTCATTTGCACAGTGAATTCGGGAAAGACCTATTTTAGTTTGTAAGGACAGCTGGCACTGATGGAAACTACAGTGGAGTGTAGAAGTCAAGTAGATAAACCGAGATTCTGAAAATAGTAAAATCCAATTGTTGTGGTTTTCATATACATTTTTTCCTTCTACACCCTGCAGACCCTTTTTTAATAGAAAAACTAGATTTGCAAAATTAAACCCCTGCTTTGTGGAATCTCTAGTTGTCCCACATGCACATGGGCTCTTTTTCTGAGAATTTCAGATTTTTTCACAGGCCAGAGGTTCCCAGATAAATAAAGAAATCACAGGTCTCGGGTCAAGATAGTTGAGTCTTAGTCACAGCTCCATCACTGACACATCCTGTGACTTGACCAACTACTTTGAACTCCCTGATAACCAGTTTCCTTGAATGTTGATATGCTTTTATCTTTTTTCACATTTTTATGAAATGTATATAGACTGTTATCTTTTCAATCCTACCCTGACTCCTTTGATTCCATGGAGATAGGAGGGCTAAGAACCAGATCGGTTAGCTGCCTCATTGAAAGGAAGTCACAAAATTGAAGATGCCTGGGAGGGTTCGGGGTGGGCAGTAAAATTGGGATCTTGGTAGTTTCTGTTTTACACCACCTGTAGGAAATCTTGTATAAATTAGTCCTTTAAGAGGATGAAACTAGAATAAGTTCTTGGCCTAAATCCCAACTACCTGTGCTCTTTCTAATATCTCTGAATCAGGACATTTATGGCCTATGGTGACAAGCAGCAGGTTGTCCACTTCTATTCAAATCACTTTCACACACTGGTGGAGCACTTAGTATGTATCTGGCACTATTTTAGGTGCTGAGGTGACAACTGTGTCCTATAGAACTTGACTGGGTCACTGTTGGGTCTCCAACTTCTGAAAAGGGCCTGGCACATGGTGGTAGACCATAAATATTTGCTAGGTGGTAAGTAAATAAACAGGAAATAAAATACTTCATCATGGCTGGCTCTGTTCTCTGCAACCCAGGAAAAAGCCTGGACTTGAGGATCTATAAAACAAATAGAACGAGGGACTTTTCTGACTTGGTGGGGAAGGGGGTGTTTGATGCTTCTTTTCTTCACTATCCCTAAATCTCAGTCCTTGGTTTACAGTACCACATCAATTTATTCTCATTCAAACTTTAAACTTTTTTATATTTCAGCTTATGAAGTACTTATATGATAATTTTCCAGAACAATTGGGTGAACATTTGCAGGACACTAGGACTTCTTTCTAATGTCCTGGGAAAGTTGTCTGTGAATAAAGGACAAAACCTCCTTCTGCAAAATTCAGTGTGCACATTGGTTAGTTATTTCCAACCTGGTGTGAAAAGAAGTTACATAGAGGGAGTAGAACAGATTGAAATCTAGGTGTCTGCTCTGCCTTGTTCTTCCTTTAGGACACTTACAACTTCTGGTTCACTCTCATATTTCCTGTTTATGCCATAAATGATGAGTCATAATTTTATGATGTTAACAGAGCATATTCTAGAACAAAATTTCTTGAGAGCTCCAGTTTAGAATCAAAACAAATTACTGAGCCTGTTACTGTGTGAAATTTGAAGATTGCAAATATCTCCTTTAATGTTATTACTTAACTCCATTAAAAATAGATGGTGAATATTCCATGTCACATTATTCATGAGGCAGGTTCTATGCCTTTTGTCTGCTGAAGTAACAGTAGAAAGGGTAACTAGAGACACCAGAGCACACCTTTGTCTCTTTCACTAAATTTTTAATAACACCTCCAGCTAGCCAGTTGGTGAAGCTCAGCCCTTGCATAAAAGTGGAAAAGCACAGCTATCTCAGAGAAGACCAACCCTTTCAGTAGCTAATTTGAGTTTGCGTTCATCTACACCAGAGATGATTAAATTACCTATCGAGTGTGCTGAGCTATCAGGATTCAGGCCACGTAAAAGGTGAATTTCATCTGATTGATTTGAGATGTGACTGGAACAATTGAGTTTTAAAAGCCCCGCCTTAATTAAAGGGATAGCAAAGTATGACTCTAGGGCAGGTTCTTGGTCACCATTGCTTTGAAAATTGGGTGGCAATAGTGATTTGGGCCAAGTCATCTTGTTACGTTTATGTGAGTTTAACTTGATCATTTAACAGAAAGGAAAGCCTAAAATGATTTCTTTTGGAGCATTATATGCTTAAATCTCTGCTGCTGTAGTGTGTAAATAGCAAAATAAATAAATAAATAAAAATTACAAAAATTCCAGGAAGTACATAATATGTTTATTCAAGTGTTTTATCCACTAAGTAAAAATTTAAAACCGAAGAAATATCACCCCAGATACTTTTAGCTTAAAAGTTATTGTCTGGTGGCCCTCCCTGGTGGCGCAGCGGGTTAAAGCACAGCACTGAGAATCTAAAGCCACTTCCTCATGAGTTCGATTCCCGCCTGCCCCGGAGGTGACCACATGGTGTGGCAGACCTCTCCTGACCCGCCCGCTGCTCCCCTCAGCAGTGTACTTCGTCGATCTGCCTGTTCTGCTCCCCGCTCTGTCTCTGGTGAATTCTCTCACCCTCCGCATCTCTGGCCTGTACCCCAGTTCTGTACAAATAAATAAATAAATCTTTAAAAAAAAAAAAAGTTATTGTCTGGTGGTTCAGCGGTTAAAGCACAGCACTGTGAAGCTCTTTGCAGTCACTGAAGCCGGAGTTTGATCCCAGGCCAAGGAGCTGACCTACATGGCGCAGCAGACCTCTCCTGTCTTGCCTGCTGTTCCCCTCAGCAGTATGTTTCAGTAGATCCATCTGTTCTGCTCCCCACACTGTCTCTGGTGAATCCTCTCACCCCCCTACACCTCTGGTCTGTATTCCAGTTCTTGTATGCATAAATAAATAAATCTTAAAAAAAAAAAGTTATTGTTCCTTTTTGTAGTCTTCCTTTCCAGTTGTTACCCACATGTGATATTTACTTACTTTTAAAGATTTATTTATTTCTGCATACAAGAAATGGGGTACAAGCCAGAGGTGCAGAGTGTGTGTATGAGAGGATTCACCAGAGACACAGTGGGGAGCAGAACAGGTGGATCTACTGAAACACACTGCTCGGGGGAGCAGTGGGCAAGACTGAAGAGGTCTGTTGCACCATGTGGGTCTGCTCCCCGGTCAGGGCCAGGGATGGACCAGTGATGCAGTAGCTGGAAATAGCTTAAAGACAGCGCTGTCTTTAACCCCTGTGCCACCAGGGAGGGCCTCCACATGTGGTATTTATATACATATATTTTCACCTTCTAATCATGGAATTTCAAATTATGTTTACATAGTTCTTTTATTTATATATTACAGGGACACATAAAGTGGAAATTTTTATATTTTACAATGAGAATTTTGACCATTTGTAGGGTTAAATATGATATCCATATTTATTATGGCTTCTTTTCTAAAGTTATGCTTCAAAATTATTCACTCTTCAAATAAAACATTTCAAGCACATTAGAAATTACAGAATATAATCAACACCAAGTACCCATATTCAGCCATATTTAGGTTTTATTTTTGAAATTAAATGTTACAGACATGGTTGAATATTTTCTAAAATATGTTCCTTCCTAGCCCCATTCCTATTCCTCTCTCCTCAGAAGCATCCACAACTCCAAAATTGGTGTTTATCATGGCTATGGATAATTTTATATGTTTAATTTATACACATTCCATAAAACAATATGAAGTACTACATAGCATACTTTAACTTAATGAAAATGATATCATAGTGTATATATCTTTCCATATCTTGCATTTTTTCCTCAATACTTTGTTTCTGAGATTTAGCCATGTTGGTACATACAGTTTGATTCATTTATCATAACTGCTGCATATAGAATTCCACTGCACAAAAGCTTGCCAATTATCTGCATATCCTGCTGGAAAGTTTTGGTTATTTTAAATTTTTCTCACTGCAAACAAT